CACATGGGCTTCAGTAGTTGTGGCATGCAGGCTCAGTAGCTGTGGCTCGCGGGCTCTAGAACACAGGCTCAGTAGTTTTGGTGCACGGGCTTAGTTGCTCCGCGGCATGTGGGATCTTCCCGGACCAGGGCTCAAACCCGTGTCTCCTGCATTGGCAGGTGGATTCTTAACCACTGCACCACCATGGAAGCCCCAGAAAATTTTCTCTTACATAAATAAAGCTGTACCAAAATGAACTCTGTATCTATGTTACTGTGATTGCCCACTTGCCTGTGGTTAATATCCTGACATGGCTCTCACAGCAAGACAGCCATTTGTTGTACATATATGACAAGATCTGGATGAGTCAGCCTTCGGAAGCGACTCCCTACAGAGGAGAGGAAAGAGATGAATGAGGCTGTGGTCTCAGCCGCTTGTGGGTCATTTCACATGCAGCATGTACCTCCGTTTGGAAATCTCTTCTGATATCCTCTACCGTCTTACTTGACTAATTCTGTTACCGAGTCCAAGCTGCCAGTGAATCAGAGACGAGGTGCTGAGGCAAGGAATACGACTTTATTCATAAAGCCCGCAGACCGAGATGGCAGACTAAAGTCTCAAAATAACCATCTTATCGGAGTTTGGATGCCAGTTTCTTTTATAGCACAGAGAATGGGAGGAGATGAGGAAGTAAAGTAAAAAGGCCATAAGTTTTGCAAATATCACCTGGAATGGCCAGCCTCGGGGAGGGGATGTGTTCATTTCTTCTTTCTTGTAGCCATCCACAGTTGGAGAGGGTCCGGATGTTTGCCTGAACAAAGGCACTTTGGTTTAACATTCAGGCAGAGGGGCAGGGTTCCCCGAGGCAGGCCATTATGTATAGACAGTATCCTTTTAGTGAACAAAAGCAGCGGAAAGCAAAGGTTAAGGTAAAAGAAACAGATCCAACATGTAGTCAGGTTTGGCTCTTCCCTGTTACAATTCTTCTTCATCATTTAAGTCTCAGCTTAAAAGTTACCCTTCAGAGAAGGTCAGGTCCCCTTGTAGAGCTGTGTTAAGACATTTATAAATCCTACGCACTTAAAAGATCTCAGTGGCTGCCAGCCCCCAACTAAATATGAATTCAAACACACACACAAAAGTGTGAAACATTTACCATTTTTTTTGAAATAACATACAGCAAAATGTATACATATCCTGAATAACTTCTTTTTAGATTTTCTTCTGATTCAAATTATCCCCCTCTGTCTCTGTCTCATACATGCTGCCCTATTCTCTCTCTCTCTCTCTTTTTTTTTTTTCTTGAGCCTCTGCTGGTGCCCCAAACAAGTGCTGAGTCAGCCGTCCAGGTAATTTTGCACTCTCCCCATTAAGCGTTCCCAGTGTCCCATACCTCTCCAAGTACTGTACACACTGGTAGTCATGTAATTGCTTGCAGAAATCTCTTTAATGTCTGTCTTCCCTATGACACTGTATTCTTCTGTAGGTCAGGGTCTCAGTTTGTGTAGCTCAAGAGCTCAAGTATTTGTTTGACCAGCTATTTTGTAAAATGTAAACAACTTTTAAGTGACTAATGAAGAAATCAGGGAATCTTCTAGAGTGGTGAATTGGACTTTTATGAGTCAAAAAGGGATAAAAGAAGATGATGACTTACTAGGTGAGAAAGACAAATGAAATAAGAGGTATTGTCTTCTACAGTAGTGATTTCCTCAAAGACTTTATAGACTAATGTTACTGTTCTGGTAATTCATTTCCTCTAGATAATTCCTAGTCAAATACATCATAAATCTGTCATTACAGTCAATATATCATTGATAGTTTTATAAGACCCATTCATAAAATCTTACTAAGGACTTTCCTATTCTGGCCCAGATGCTACATTCTACCTCTTTCCTTCCACCCTCACCTCTTCTGCCACCATTCAGTTATTTAACAAATGTTTTTTGAACATTAAGCAAATGCTAGTCATTGTGCTAGGTGCCTGGGCTAACATTCCCACACACCTTGCACTCAGGGAGTTCATAGTTTAAGGCCTGGGCACCATCTTAGAATGAAGTTATTAAAGTAACACAATTTTATGTCTGTCATCTTAAATATAATAAAAGCATTATATGTGAAAGTATTCAGAAATTACTGGTACATAGAGTAAAGAAGGTCTGTAAGAAGATAAAATTTAAAAATTTCGTAGTTCTGTCACCTCCAACTTCAGACCTGCTTGTTCACTGACCAGATCCTCGAAGTTTCAACTGGGACGTGGTAACTTTTTTAGATGGAGCAATGCTTCTTGCCAATCATCGTATACATATTCAGTGACCTTGCATGAAGAAACATCCTGTCTGCAGAAAAGGAGACTGCACCTCATTTACACAAGGCAGGGCTGATAAGGTTTGTCAGTGTGTATGTGTATTTATGCATGTATGTGTGTATCTATGTGCCAAGAGGGGAGGAGATGGGGAGGTGATGGGTACATGTTTTATTACTTAGCTCATTCGATTTTTATCCAGTTATTGATGAGTGTAAAGTCATAGCCTCAACCTTCAGAGGTGGTTGTTAGCTTTACACAGAAGAAAACTTTATCTCATGACCATAGCTTGCATTTCCAGCCCCAAAACAGGACAGGAGAGAACAGGTAGTTCAGTGAATTCACCAGCATGACCAGAAATTCAATTCAGTCATATAATGGCAGATCAATATTATCATTGTAAACAAAGGGGAGATTACTGTTAGATGCATCACTCTGTGGCTTTCCACTGTCCTGTGGAAAAAAAGAGGAAAAAAATCCCCTCACAATCTCAATAGGAAAGTAAACAACTTTTCAAACACGCACATATGTGTATGTTTTCCTCTGTATTATTATATGTTGTTTTTATTAATGTATCTTTACAGAAAGATGTAAATCTAATTTAACCTTGAATAATATAATACTGCATGTGAATTCTTATGAATAGGCCTTAGTCCAACTCAGTAATTAATGACAGCTTTAAAGAATATAAGTGCTCCACAAGGTTGCATTAGAATTCTGAATGGCATCTTGTTTTTACTTTACTGAATTGTTTTGATATGCCAGACAAGAAAATGCAACTTTTCTCCTGTGTTAATTAATTAAATAGTATATTGGGAGAGATACCAGTTTTTAGGTTGCATCCATCGGTTTTAGCTCCATCTGTTGCGTTTTATCAAGTTGCTATTTAAACTCTGATACAGTACTTCATTTGTAGTTTCGATATTGTCCCCATTATCTTCCCTAAAATGAAAACTCCACTACTGACCCCTAAACATGCTCTCATGTTCCTCAGCATCAGGGTGGGTGTGCTGGTCCAGTACCAGAAAGAACCTCTTCTTCTTTGAGGCTGGATCATGGACACATGAATGTCTCAGAGTCTTTAATAGTTCTCATAGGGGCTCTTTGTAGAACATACAGGTGGCATTTGTCTCCGGTTGGAACCTGGGAGTCTCTTTTTCCTGGATTTCCCTTCTTCCTCTTGCCCTGTCTGCCCTTTCCCAGAATCCCAGTTTTGGGCCTCTCCCTGCCCCTTGGGTCAGAGTCCAAAAAGATGCATCACTGAATCCAACTTGGGAGAATGACAGAAAGTACTTGTGTTCTTCAAAGTGGGGCACTTGCTGCTATTGATCACCAGTTTTAATATAACTTTGATGCTTATTAATTTTACTATTTATTTAAATAGTTTACTATTTATTTAATATTATCGATAATTAATAATAATTACCAGAAGTGAGCAAATACAGCCTGCTCTTTAATTCCTCTTTATTCACCTGTCTCGAATTTCTAAATATGCTTAATTAGATTAAATGTGGCTACTTATAGAAAGATGCAGTTTAACTGTGATGCAATAAGCACACTATTTAACACTATACATTCTTGTAACTAATAGAGAAGCTTTCTTATAACAAATTTAATTATTAATAAATGGGGACATCTCCTCAATACGGTGCTCAGAGAAAATAATTGTGGAGTAAAAGACATCTTTTGTGAATATACAGTGCCGAGGGGCTCAAAGTCTGTTACTCCTTTGTATATATTTTTTCTCCAACAATATCATCTCTGTGGATAAGAGAAGATCTTCAACATCTTGCTCTCACCTATCTTTCTTCTCTGTAACCCCAATTAGTTTCAGTTTCCTTCTCTGCAAGCAATTACCTTTATTTCCTTATTCAGAGAGTGAGGTCTTTGAAAGCCAGTGAATCAACAGAAGCCAGAAAATTATGTATCACACTGTATATTTAATAATGGTGTACAATCTGATTACTGTGTGTACAGTTTTCAACGGTTTTCTATTTTAAAAGAATTTTATGTGATAGCAACCTTTGTTCTCTCAGGATTACTTGAGTGGAAAAACCCCTTTAAGGCTAAAACAGAACTCATGGTATAATACTGATTCAGCGGTAATGCAAATTAGCTTTGAACTTACCATCAAAATGTGGGGGAAAAAGTGAATCAAAACTGAAAGTAAGACCCTCAGTTCTGGCCCTGGGCTTCCTTAGGTGGTTGATGCCCTTGGACACACTTCCCTCATAGCAATGGTGAGGACCGCTACCTTACGTGGTAAAGAAAATAATTTGCTGACTTTTACTATTGTACCTGAAACAAAGCTAAGAGGAAAATAATGTTGGTTTTACATGTAGGTAAGTTCAATAGAATTTCACTTCATCTCACCAACATTCCAAACCACTAGAGCACTAACTGTTCACTGGAGACTTTAAGGTCATTGTAAAATGAGATGACAGTTTGGTAATTAACTGATTTAAGGTTGAATGCCAAGACACAGCTGAGGCTCAAAGCCCACAAACCTCGAATCCACTAAATTATCCTGTTTTGAATGTCTACTTCAGGAAAAATAAGCAGATGATTTTAAGATAGCTATTTCATTTTGTATGACCACAGTCTGAGGAAATGTTAAACTGTGTAGTCTAAGAAAGCTTTCAGAAGACTCAAGATGTGAGCTGATGTATTTCATTAAGGAAAGATCATTACCTCCTTGCTAATTCATCCAAAAATATGATTTATCTTTAATATAAACTCCCAGATATGAAAAAATACACCATTGGATTTTAAATTATCAATAACAGTTAATCAATATTCAGGTTGCTTCAAGGATGCTAGAATTGATTCGATTATTTTATCACTTCCTTTATATTGTGCCTTCTCTGGATTTACAGTCAGGAATTTGTCAGATACAATTATATTTATAAATTTAATTTTCTTTTGCACTATTTGACAAACTAGGTGTATCCCCAGATTATAAAAAATTTCTTTGGATTTATTCTTTGTTTTTCTTAAAATCGTTCACTAGTTTTCATGTTATTTCCCACAATCTACAACATGAGTACAGTAATCATTTAGTAGCTAGAAAAGCTGTGATTATACACTATTTGCTTGGCCCTGATTGACTTTTTAATCCACTGCATCCAATTTAATTCACACACTTTGGTATTCAGCCCAACCAAGAATCTTAAGTTACAAAAGTAACATTTTATATACTTTTAAACTGTGTTTACTTTTATATAATTTTAATGCCCAAAATCCAAATACCAAATGTTGAAAACTTTTGGCATTATATTTTGCTTCTCTACTTTTGTGCCTCATCTACTATGTCTTTCTCTCCACTTCTGATAAAAAGCTAGCCTCCAGTTTAGCAACCTAAATGTCTAGGTCATTACCCAACACCATCCTTAATAGTAAAGGAAATGCAAATGCTATTATTACAGTGCTATGTATCTTTTAAAGGCTGTTGCTTAGCACCCACATGTGAATCAACAAATCTGCCAACTACAAAGTTCACTTTTATTTAACAAAATGCAGTAGGCCTCCCAGGATTGGATATCCCTCACCCCTGTGCCAAAGCAGGAAAATTTGATTAGGGGAAAAGCAGAAATTCCCTGGATGTGGTGAGAGAAGCAGTACATGTTATCCATATGTAGCATTAGGAAGACCTTTGGAAGATATATATGTGTGGCATCCAGGTCAGGGCCAGGAAATTTTCTTAGCTGAGGTCCTAGTCTGGCTCTTTTTTTGGGACAGCAGAAATGTTCATGCATTTCTGCTTCCTGGTCCATTCAAGTTTGCAGTGGGACTTTTGGCTCTATCTGAACCCCATGGGACCAGTGGAGGTGTCAGCCTGCAGCAGCACTAAGCAACCTCATCCCAAAGCAGCAGCAGGGATGAGGTACCTGCCTGTTCTCTCTCCTGGGTTCTGAGCAACACCTGTGGCTCTAAGGCTGTGTGTGGCCACACAGCTCTCTGGTGATAGTTAATCCTGGGACTTACATTAGCATTTAGGAAGGGATGCAGCCTGCCCCACGGTCACCTTTTCACAGGTTCAAGGTGGCTGCAGGCAAGGATCTGAGCTCAGAGAGTGGTAGGAACACACCTGAAGCTGGAGCTATTCCTCACCATTCCATGCAGAGAGATCAGAATTAGTGGAGGGGCAGCCAAATTAGGAGCTATTGTGGTTGCTGAGGCCTGGAGCAAGTGGGCTGGGAATCCCCTGGGACCCTGATGGAAGGCAGAAGGGACTTGGAAGCGGAGGACTGAATCACTAGCAAGTACCCCAGAGAGGCCCAGAACTGGTGATGATTGTATGATCCTCATTTCTTTGCATTGTTTTTTCCCCCTGGGAACCTGAGAAGTATCTATTAAAAAAAAAAAAAAGAAGTCACCCAAGTTGTGGGAAGTTCTGCTGTCTTTAGGGCCATACTCTTAAGACTAAATTGTCCAGTCATACACAGTCACGAAAATACTCCCAGATGCCGAGTTGCCTCCTTGTCCTTTGTGAGAGACCGTCAAACATGCACAAGAGCAGCCATCATTTCAACATATATTAAGTGAGGGCCTACTATGTGCTAGGAGCTGTATTTGCTACCACACAGATCAAGGGAGGTGGGGCAAGTGAGGCCTGTTTCACCTGAAGACAGAAAAGGAAGTTAACTTCTGGATGTCATCCCTGTGCATCCACCATTCTGTTTATATTCTGTAACTGACCTGGAGTGCACTGTGCTCACTAGTAAGGGTGTAGACAATTTAGAATAGAAAAGGTTTGTTTGACATTTATAAATGCAGAGGAGATTACCTGGGGAAGACTTGGAGAATTTAACTGTTCCCTAGCGTCTTCTCCAAATGTTCCAGATTAGAAAACATTTCATCAATATTTTGAAGTTGATCAGACTGGGGATGTTCAATTTAGCAAACCTCCCAAAAGACTGATATATGAGATCAGAAAGGTACTTTATTAATTTACAATGAGAAGTAAAACCTTCAGGGATTGGGGAGACCATTGTTTAAGTTTTCTTCCTCTCATTCTCTGAATGGAAACCCCATAAGAAACCAAACAATCAGAATATACCTTGAAGAGTAGGTATTTATGAGA